CATCGACGAGTGGGCAAAAACCCTGATACTGAAACAGTTCTTGGCAAAGATCAAGGACCATTTTCTCGATAAGACGACGACTGACAAGGCGTTTGGCCAATTAACATCGAGTTGGTCAAAAGCATTGGACATCGGTCGAGGCTTTGTCCTGTGAAGTCGATCGATTGCTGCAGGTTCCAGGATTGAACCTGCAAGGCAACCAAGTGTTGTATATCTACTCCCGCGCGTTGCCTGAGCCCATCCGGGGACACTTGGTCGCCGAAGCAAAGTCAGGTAAATACAACTGTAGGCAATTTTGCGACCTTGCTCTGCAAAGGGAACAAATGACTTCTCAAGTCAAAAATTCCTATGCAGCCGGAGTTAAGTCTGGAGGAGGAGGAGGAGGGAGGCCGTACAATGGGAAACGAATCCTCTGGCGACAAAAGTGTCAGGACCACACCCTTGTCGTCTTCGATGACGACACAGTGGAAAAGTGACCACTAGAAGATAAGGATAACAACAGTGACTCCGGGAAGGGGGAAGTCACTGCTGTTGTGGCCAACAAGGGAGGGCCACCTAGAAGTGGAACAGGGAAGAAACCGAGACCGTTTCCATGGCACCCTGGCATTGCCGACGGGAAGTCATGGTTGAAGATGGGAATGACTCGCGAGACTTGGCAGGAGCGCATGGACAATGCTCAATGTCTTAAATGCGGCACACCGGGACATGTGATCGCATATTGCCCTTTGATCCGTAACCCGAAAGCGAGCAGCCAGTAGGAGTAGCATCTGCTCTTACTGAGATTAAGGGTAAGGACGAACACACACGTAAGGCGCCTACAAACCCTTCCTACCCTTCTTCTCACATGGCAGAGGATGATTCTTCCTTAGCCCATCATCCAGATCGCCCTGACATTGTCTTATGTTCTGTCTCTCTGGATGACTCCCTTGATGAGCTAGGTAATGAATTGCTAGCCTTACATAGCTCATGGGCTCGAAAAGCAAAGTCTAAGGGCGAATTATTATTTGCAGATGTTGAAATCGCACGAAGACGAGTTGGTGCGTTGTTGGACCCTGGATCGACGAGGTCCTACATCTCCGAGAAAGCAATCCGCAAGTTGCATCTCGGTATGAAGGTAAAAGACTTGTCTCGACCAATCACGTCTATGTTAGCAGACAAGAGTAGGATCACTGTCTCTCGGTACGTTGATCGTATTAAGTGTCAGTTCAGAACGAGGGAAGGAAATAAGATTGTGCATGAGTTATCTTTCCTCATAGAGAAGAATTTGCCTTTTGATCTCATTCTGGGTATGGACTGGCACAAGGAAGCCAACCCGGATATTGACTTCAAAGGCAAGATTGTGCAACTTAAAGAGGCACAATCTGAAATGAAACCAAGTAAGTTATATCATAAGTCTGACTCGAACTCTAGTTTGTCTTTTTGTTGTATGAGTTACCTAGCTTTTCGTTCGATGATTTTGAAGAAAAAGTTAGAACAGGAAGTTATGTTGGTATTGGTAAAGAAAGCCGGTGAGTCTTCTTCTTCCTGCCCTCCAACTATTGAAAGTTTTCTTTCATAATATAAGGATCTGCAGCTTGAACCTACCGGAATTACTGAACGTGCTATTAAGCACACCATTGAGATCATTCCAGGTAGTAAAATTCCCAAGGGTCCTATCTATAGAATGTCTTCCATGAAACTTGAAGAATTGAAGAAACAACTGCAGGACCTTACTGACAAGGGATGGATTCGCCCTAATTCATCTCCCTATGGTGCACCTGTCTTGTTTGTGCCCAAAAAGGAGGGTGAATTACGTCCGTGTCTTAATTATCGAGGGTTGAATGCCATCATCGTCAAGAACGCCGAACCGCTTCCTCGCATCGACGACTTACTTGACCAACTGCAGGGTTGTAAGTAATTAAGTAAGATTGATCTGAAGTCTGGGTACCATCAGATCGAGGTGGAACCCGCAGACCAACACAAGATTGCTTTCCGGACCAGGTATGACCATTACGAGTTCATGGTAATGCCTTTCGGATTGACAAACGCCTCTGCAACGTTCCAACGGTCAATGAACGAATTGTTTCGTCAATGGTTGGATCAGTTCGTTATTGTCTATCTCGACGATATTCTCGTGTATAGTTAAACCCTAGAAGAACACGAGAAGCATCTTCGTTTGGTGTTAGATAAGTTGCGAGAGGGCAACTTTAAAATAAACCCAAAGAAGTCTGAGTTCGCTAAGTCTGAAGTTTTGTACTTAGGACATATAGTGAATCAAGATGGCCTCATACCAGAGGAAAAGAAAATATCAGCAATTAGAGATTGGCCACAACCTAAGTCTGTGACCGAGTTACGATCTTTTCTTGGCTTGGCAAGCTATTATAGGAAGTGTGTTAGAAAATTCTCATCGATCGCTGCACCAATGAGAAGATTGTTAAAGAAAGAAACTATTTGGTTGTGGGACAAGGATTGTGAGTCTTCGTTCAAGAAGGTAAAGTATGCCTTGACTCACTACCCTGTTCTGAAAATTGTTGATCCATCTCTTCCTTTTATCGTCACTACTGATGCAAGTCAGTATGGGATTGGCACAGTCCTTCAACAGAACGACGATAATGGTTACATACCAATTGAGTTTATGTTTGCACGATTGCCATCAGAAAAGGTTGCCAATTCCACTTACGAAAGGGAATTATATGTTTAGTCTGCGCATTAGACACCTGGAAACACTCCTTGTTAGGGAAATACTTCACTGTGTAGTCATACCACTCTACTCTGAAGTGGATAAAGACACAACCTAGGCTCTCTGATAAGTTAGTACGATGGTCTGCGTTCATGGATACTTTTGATTTTGAGTTAAAAACTATCAAAGGTAAGTCTAACGTGGTTGCAGATGCATTGTCCAGAAGATGTGATTTATTTGGTGCTATTGTCTCTTACCTAGAAGTTGGGAGTGATTTGAAAGATAGAATTCGTGAAGGATGCGCGATTGACCCTATATGGAAACCTATTATGGATGTCCTTGCAAAAGACCCAACTCTACTTCCCAACTATAAGGTAACCGATGGTTTGCTCTTCTTGTTAGACCAAACTGAACAGAGATTGTGTATTCCTCACCAGGAAGAAATTAAAAGTCTGCTTATTGGGGAATGTCACAATGCTGAAGGTCATTTTGGTTTCAAGAAAACTTACGCTGAGGTTAGAAAACGCTTTGAGTGGAAGGGGTTGAAAGAAGATGTACTAACTTATGTTCGTACATGTTTGGTGTGTCAGAGAAACAAACCCTCACACGAGAATCCACTTGGTCTCCTGAAACCATTACCGATTCCAAGCGAACCAGGTGAGTCTATCTTGATTGACTTTATGAGCCTCACCAAAAGCAGGAATGGCAATAGCCAAGTAATGGTTATTGTGGATCGTTTCTCTAAGTATGCCATGTTTATTCCCTTACCCTCAGAAGCACGGACTGAACTTGTGATCCAAAAGTTTCAGATGCGATGGGTGACTGAGTATGGTTTTCCTCTCTCCATTGTATCTGACCGTGATGCCAGGTTCACGAGTATGCCATGGCAAAAGCTGATGGAAGCATATGGTACACGTTTGACCATGTCGTCAGTGCGACACCCTGAAAGAAATGGACAAAGTGAACAGATGAACCGTTTGTGCCAGCAGCTTTTGCACATGTATGTGAGACCCGATCAAATTGATTAGCACAGCAGGGGTGTGTGTGTTTTTTTTAAAAAAAAAAAAAAAAAAAAAAAAAAAAAAAAAAAAAAGGATTGAGAACCTCGTACTAACGGCGTGCGTCCTGGTATGCAGTTTTCCTCCCTTTCTATTACTAAATTCAGTAATAGAGGCTTCGCTGGGGAGTGATGATGAATCCGTAGGTTTCTACTGTACCTGCTTCTAATTTCGGAAAGAAATCCTTCTTGCGACCTATAACTTCTACTCCTCCTTAAATTGAAACTGATCGTACGGCCAGGGAGCGTTGTCGCTTCTTCGCCTTGTATTTTTCCCTTGGGAACACCTGCTGCTGCCTTTCTTGCCTTGCGCTCTTCGAGTCGACGAACCAGGGTGAGTTGAGGGAGCGATCTTACCTCTTGCGTTCCCTTGTCGCTAGTGGAACCTTGATGATTTCCTCAGAAGACCTTCTCCTTCCGCGATAGCTTTCTGACTTTTCCTCCTCTTCGCTTCCCTTGTCCTTTTTCTCCTTTCCCTTCCTTTTCTCGCCCTAAGACATCGTTCCTTGCTTCTTGTTCTTCTTTTCCTCTCTTGTTGTCTTCGTCGAGACAATCCTCTTGCCGAGTGTTTTCCTCCTTTCTCTTACCCTTTTGTGTTTCTCTCCTCTCTCTCTCTCTCTCTCTCTCTCTCTCTCTCTCTCTCTCTCTCTTGTCTGAGTTGCGCTCCACTTCTCCCTTTTTCCTCGTTGCTCCTCCCTTTCACCCTGTTCCTCCCCTTTCTCCTCTCGTCTCTGCTTATCTCTTGCTGGATTGCGAGTAGCCACGCCCGAAGGCGTGGCGAGGTATGGCGTGTTTGCGCGTTCTGTTTTCCCGCCTTCCCACTTCGTTTTCGAAGAGCGATGATGTGCGCGCGCGGCGCGAGTTTCTGCACGGCGCAAAAAAACTCGTCGTGACATGGTCACGAAAATTAGCGCTTACCGCTCCGACGCTAGCGCGTCGTAATAAGCGGTCCTATTGTAAGGGTAGTACGTGCCCACCCTAAGTGAAGGCGGGCCCCTGAATCTCGATGAGCCCCAAATTCGTCAATTTTCGCAAATCCTGTTGCGCTCCGGACAGTTGTCGCACGCCAGTTGGTTACATCCACCTTGCTCGTGAGAATCTGAAATATTTGAGAGCCTTCCACGCCCTGGCAGCAACGTGGCTAAAGCAGGGAACACCGCACGTTTGTGCCTGGGCGGTTGGGCATGCCTAATCAATTCGGTCCCAAGCCACTGTCCGAATGGTCCTCGGCGCAGACACTTTGGTCGAGACTGAAGCTACTGGAAACTCAGTCTCACGGGGCAGACGAGAGGCAACGAGCCCCTAGGAAAGGGCTGGGCTACGAGGCAGGCATTCAGGCACTTGGTAGAGCAGGCGGAAGTGCTGGTGAAGCGAGTTGCGTCTTTGACATCTGATCCCGTGCCTTGACAAGGAGCTCTTGCATGCGACGAAGGAACGCAAGATGGTCGTTGCTCTCGGTTGTGCGCGGCAAAATGGCGTCCAGTGGCGATGAGATGGGTGAACCATGCTCGAACTCGAACGGCGACATCCCGATAGCCGGATGGATCAATGAGTTGTAAGCCAACTCAACGTCTGGCAAGTGCTCAACCCAAACAACCTGGTCGGGGCGGATGAGAGTGCGTAGAAGGACTTGAGCGGTCTGATGCGCACTTTCCGTTTGACCATCGGTTTGTGGGTGGCGAGCCGAACTCGGCTTCAAAGATGAGCCCCATCGCTTGACGAGGGCGACCCAAAAGTTGGAGAGAAAGCGAGTGTCCTGGTCGCAAATGATCTCCTTGGAGTAGCCCTTGGAGCGAATCCAACCGGTGTATAAGACCTCGACTAACTCCGGTGCCTTTGCGTGATAGCGGCAAGGCAAAAACATGGCGTACTTGGTGAGGCGGTCGACGATCGTGAGGATCCCATCAACGTCGGTCTTGTGCTTCGGGAAGGGGCCGGTGATATCCATAGCAATTGCTTTCCGTCGCCCAAGGGGAACTGGTAGTGGGTGTAGCTCGCCGAACGGACGATGGTTGCGGGACTTGCAACGCCGACAGACTTCGCACGACTCACAATAGCGGGTGGCGTCCTTGAGAAGGTCGGGCCAATAGAACCACTGGCGAAGTCGGCCAAGTGTACGRTTGACACCAAAATGTCCGGAGGCGGGCGCATCGTGAAACTCGCCAAGAAGCCGTGTGCGCAAGTGTGAATCACTCAGCACACAAAGAAGATCCTGACCCCGTGAATGCACAAGTAAGTAGCCCTCTTGGATCCGATAATGCAAAGGCACCGGATTCGGAGAGGAGCAATTCGCGTACTTGTTGCGAAAGTGGGGGTCGGCTTGATAGCCGCGGATGAARCTCTCCCGCAAGTCGTCGTCAATCTCGAAGGTAGAGTAGACTGCGGTGCAAAGATCCGGTCGCCGTGAGAGGGCGTCCGCAAAACGGTTTGACTTCCCGGGAATGTGATCGGGGAAAAAGTCAAACTGGTTGATGAAAGCCATCCAACGGGCAATGGCACTATTAATCGTGTCTTGTGACTTGTAGAATACCAACGGATTGTTATCCGTTACCCATCGGAATGCTTGCCGACCAAGGAGGAAATGCCGCCAACGCTTGAGGGTGTGGACGAAGGCAAGAAACTCCTTCTTTCGTGCGTCGTCGATCGAATGCACGGGAGACACTTTCTTGCTAAAGTACTCGACCGGGTGCCAGTCCGTGCCATCGTGCTGCTCAAGGACGGCCCCAATGCCATTGCCCGACGCATCGGTAGTGACGCGCGTAGCTAGAAGCGGGTCGTAAATATGTAACACCTCGGGGGATAAGAGTGCCGCTTTGAGTGTTTCAAAAGAACGACGCGCGTCGTCGTCGAAGTCAAAAGGCCGCTCCTCGCTTTGTAACTTGCTTAGGTTGGCCGCAATCTTCGAGGAACCCTTGATGAAGCGCTGATAATAACCGGCCAAGCCGAGAAAGGATCGGACGTCCGTCACGTTCCTCGACTCGGGCCACTCCTGGATGGCTTGAATCTTGTCCGCGGTTGGCTTTGTACCGGGCTGACCGAAGAGTCTCTAGAACATGGCGAAGGTGCTCGAGATGCTCCTCGAGAGTTCAGCTATAAACGAGGGTGTCGTCTAAGTAGACCAAGACAAATCGGTCCAACATAGCGCGAAACTCGGTGGTCATGGCCGCCTGAAAGGTGGTCGGGGCATTGGTGAGGCCAAAAGGCATAACTACCCACTCAAAGTGCCCATATCGYGTCTTAAACGCGGTTTTGTACCGATCTTGCGGGCGGATGGAAATCTGATGATAGCCCGACTTGAGGTCCAACTTCGAAAAGTACTTGGCGCCGCCCAAACGCTCAAGCAAATCGTCAATGCGAGGTAGAGGCCCCGCATTCTTGATGGTTTGCGCGTTGAGGCGTCGGTAGTCAATGCAAAGTAGAAGGTCCTTGTTCTTCTTCCGAACAAAGAGAACGGGCGCACCGTAAGGTGAGCTGCTAGGGCGGATCCAACCCTTGTCAAGTAAATCATCGAGTTGCGCGCGGAGAACCATGAGCTCCTCCTCGAACATGCGATAAATGCATCCCTTAGGTGGCACGACGCCGGCCTCAAGTATGATCTCGTGAGAGATCGGCCGGTCCGGCACTATACCGGAGGGAGTCTCGAACACATCCGAGAACTCGTCTAACAACCGGGTCACACGGGGGTCGGAAGACAAATCCGTGGACGATGAGTCAGTCGTAGGGACGGTTCGAAGAAATGCGATGCCAATCTCTTCGATGTGCTCGAAACGGCACGCGTCTCAAAAAGATTTGACACTCACGACTTGGCACCGAATGGAAGAGCGAGGAGGAGGAATAGTACACGGGACCTCGGCGCCAGTGGCATCATGAATCGTGAGCGTGCGTCGATGGAAATTGACCGTGTGGTCTGCGCTAGAAAGCCAAGGCATCCCCAAAATGACATCGAAGTCGGTGTCCAACACGTCAAAAGTGACGGGTTCACATGCGTGCGGTGCAAAGTACACCGGGACAKCCGAGATGTAAYGGTCTAARAGYTGTTYCGTCTTACCGTCGGCAAGAGCGACCGTCGTCGGATGTGACTTCCTCYGTACTTGTGCSCCAAGGYCAGCMCGAGTCATGAAGGACTGGCTGATGAAGTTGCGAGTTGCGCCGCAATCYAGCAAAGCGTTGCAGGCCGCTTGCCCAATYTGAATGCGRATGTAGAGCAACGGTGCGTTGTTTTCTTCGTACCGTTGCGAGACAAACTCGCGGGCCACCTTGGCAACATAGCCAAGCATGTCCCCCACCGCGACTTCGTCTACCATCGGCGAAGTTGGTGGTGCATGGAAGGAAAGATACTCGTGTAAGAGGGCGCATAGTGTTGCGCTTTGCGGCCCCAGAAGGTTGCCCGTCGTAGGAGAGGAACCCAAGTGAAATCCTCGGGCGTGAGAGGGTCGAAAGCCTCCTCGTTGAACACGCTTGTCGAATCCCTTGATGAAGACGAATTGACGGAAGAACCCTCGGACGGTGAGAAAGCCGCACATGTATCTTGTCCTTGAGAAGCGTCCAGTGAAGGAACGAGCCGGGTAGCGAAGTCTTCGAACGAAAGTGGAAGACTCCCGACATCCGCATATGCCTCGGAAGAAAGGGCAGTCGTGCGCACAACCGCTTCCGATGGCGTCGAGGGAGGTGTCGAGTCACCCTCGGCGGCGCCTGCTTTCCCGAATGGGGTTTCCCCTTGGTGGGGCAATGTGCAGCATCGTGGACGGTGCTGTTGCACCAAAGACAATATCGGTACTTGAGTCTCGTGCGATAGCAATTCGCCGAGAGTCCGTATTGGGTCCAAGGTTCGTCAGCTGCTGGTCCGGTGCCTGGTGAAGAGGTGGACTGAGTCTTCGTCTTGTTGCGGCCGTGATTGTTGCACGGCCGGCCACCATCCCGAGCAGCTGCCAACACTTCACCCTCGTTTGGTGTTGCAGCCTCGGTAGAAGAAGTTGGCGAAGTCGCCGCAATGCAAGCCACCTTTGACTTGGGCTGGTTGCTGCTCGACGTCGCGAAAGATCGGCCGGCGTTGCGGGCTTCTACATTCGTGAGAATGATCCGTGATGTTGTGTTGAAAAGCTTGTCCGACGCGTCGAGTGTCTCTGCAATCTGCGTCAGCGCGTTTTGCAGGGATGGACATGAGCGCATGATAAACAAGTGCTTGACGCCGCGGAATGCGAGCGGCAGGTCGGTGTGGAGGCGAGTCTTTGGAACTCGGTAATCCAGTCCTGACTGAGGAGCGTGTTCTGATGGAGCTTGTTGAGCTTCTCCATCGCTTGCAGGTCGGGCGGCTCCACTTGGAATCGCTTGTGCCAGACGTCAGTCAGTTCCTGCCAAGTGAGCTTGGTGTGCAGTTCCGACACTGCTACGCCGTGGCTGGTCAATATGTTGTCCAGCCATGCTTGACATGCACCACCAGATCGGTGGTACAAGCACGCATGTCGATCGTTGTTCAGGACATGGTGCATGTCGAGCCTGACAGTGAACTGACGCCACCACGGGATCGGTTCCGTCTTGGACTGATCGCAGAAAACTGGAATGTCATCCAGTTTGGGTGGGCGTTGGGAGGATGCAGCCGCGGGCGACACGGTAGCAGCAGCCTGGACCTGCGTCTCCAACTGCAAGTTCGTTGCTTGCTGTGACGTCCGGAAGTCCTGATGCACACGCTTGATGCTGCTGACGTCATCCTCCTAAACTTGAGCACGGGTGGCAAGGTTGGAAGGCCCTGCGGCTGCTGCAGCGACTGGCTGTTGCAGCCGTACAAGCATCTGGTCCACTGTCTGCTGCAGGCGAAGAATTTCCTCCTGCTGCAGAGTGCAGGTGGCCACGAGGTCGTGGGAGATCTGCGCAACGGCTGACAGCCCTTTGTCGGTCTCCGAGGCCTCGTCCGCAGATGCCATTTCCACCCATTGTGCGGTTTCGTCACCGATTGCGGTCTCCCGCGTGAACAGTCGTTCCCGTTGGCATGACCGGTGTTCAACTGCAGCCTGCAGGTCTGCCTCCTCTTGACGAAGTCGGTCCTGTTCCTCCTGCTGTCGCTTGGTCTCCTCTTCTTGCTCAATCCGGTTCCGTTCCTTGGCCGCGGCGGCGGCCCTATCGTTGGCCTCCTGGATGAATGCAGCCAGGCGTTCCTCATAGGCCAGGAGGGATTCTCCCGCCTTCTGGTTCATGGCCTTGGTCTGTGATCGAGTGAGCAGTGGCATGCACTGTCGTGCCCGAAGTCTGAAGAGTCACCCGTGGGCCAGTCAGATGGACTGGCCCAGTACCCGGACTGGAGTGGGAGGAACAGGTAGGCAGCAGGCAAGTGGGAAGGATTAGAGAGATCCCAAATTGAACAGTTTCCTAATCAAGAAAAAAATATTTTTTGATTTAAAAAGAAAAAATATTAACATAAATCAAAAACACAAAAAAAATGGACTGTTCAATCCCACAGAGTACCGGAGGTGATGCAGAAAGCAATGTGGACCCTCGGTGCTCAAACTGCAGATAATCAAAGAAGAAACTTTACAACTCAGAGTAGGAGTAGGTTGCAAAAAGAGAAAAATGCCGTTTTTTTTTTTTTTTTGAAAAAAAAAGAACGGAATTTGCAGACCTACGCAGTGAAAGTGTAGAGGGACAGTTTCGAAAGAGTCGCGAAATTGTCAAAATGCAAACAATATTTAATAATTAAACAAAAAAAAATTATCGGAAAAGGAATTCTCAGAACGAAAAAAAAAATTATCGGAAAAAAAAAATTCTCGAAAAAAAAAATTAAAAAAAATAGATAATTAATTCCGGGAGATTTCCAAGATTAATCAATCAATCAATCAATCAATCAATCAGTCAATCTCAGATGATTGCTGGTTGGTTGATCGATTGTTTGATCGATCTCCTGATTGATTGATGAATCAATCGAAGATTGATTGGTGGCAATCCGCCGATCCAATCAATCAATCGATTGAT